CTCCCAGGATAGAACGAATCACACACTGGTGTAGCGGTACTTCAAACCCCAGTGTTTCAGCGAACACAAAGTTCGGTAGCAAATCACACTTACAGTTGCTTTGTTTGAAGTTAAAACAATGCAGAACAAAGGAGTAGAAACTCAGAAAATCGTATGGAAATGCTGAGAGGAAGGAGTGCAATGTATAGCCAAAGTTGAGCGTTTTCAGTTTTGTGTTTGTATGTCTTTCTTCAACAGCTGTTGCACATATTTATAGCAGTCAACTTTGAAGATGAACGACCCTCCACCCTCCATGGTGGAACATGCACTAGCTTGTTTGCGGAGCAAGCACTTGGCCATGGTGGGAAGAGCATTAGGCGGCTGCTATTGCAGCTGGTGGTCAATACACGGATTGAAATATATCCGTTACAAAAATTAATCAATCAATCGACCGAAGCCGAAGCCGAGCGAGCGACGACGACGGCGCGAGGCTTGCTTTCTTCTTAACTCTTTAAGAGCTACAAGAAGAGCAATTATATATATACCCACCAAAAATCTTTTCCTCTTCCAATATGGGACAATGTCTCATTGTCAAGAGGGGAAAACTTAAAATTTTACTCAAAAATTTCATTTTCCCTCCATTTCCCATTCACCCTCATTTTAACACTATTTCATCTTAAATAACAAAACCTCAACAATATTTATGTTGAGTTTTTCTATTGGATTCGAACACACTCACTAAAGAATTAAAGTGCTGGGGATTTGAGGTATTAAACTAGGTAAATATTTATTCATATACGGTATTTATATCAAACTAATTATACTTATCATAGCTAAATGTTTTAATGAAGTAAAAATATGTATTAATTAATCATAATTAAGTGATAAAATTCTATGTGCAAATAAATATCATGATTATGTTGGTTTGATAGTTAAAGTTTTACCTTCTAATTAAAGACGAAAAGATTCCAAATACCATATCCACTCTGTGATTATCTTAATTGAATTAGTAAGATAGATGTTTAGTTTAGATTTTAATAAAGAATGGAAAAGTGGCGTCAGTGAATGAATTGACAGGTGAGTAAGAATTTTCCTCATTCTTTAACATTTTGTTTCATTATTTTCTTTTATTTTCTTTTTTGGTTTTTTATACAAACAAAACCCCAAGAGTCAAATAAAAACATAGAAATCCTCGCAGAAGAAAAAACCTTTTTTCTCCATTAGCCAAAAAGGAAGAACAAAACATGAGCAACGAATAGTACGGGATTCTGCAATCTACTGTTTCTTACATTCATTCATTTGATTCTTCTCCAATTTCTTTTAATTTTTGTACTAATTTCGTTGTTTTTTGGTTGCAGCGATTACTTGTTCAAGCTGTTATTAATCGGCGATTCTTCTGTCGGCAAATCGTGTCTTCTTCTCAGATTCGCCGTATGTTCACCTCTTTTACTTTGATTTTCTCTGTTGAATAGTCCTTTTGTTTAAAATGCGTATGATATTGTTTGATTTTCTTCGTTAGGGTATGAAATGCGTGTTTTTTAAGGATAATGATTTTTAATTTGGGGATATGATTATCTGGAGATTATGTTATTTTTTTCATTTATAAAAGGAAAAGACAAATGATGTCTGTTTTGGTTTATGTTTTAGGATGATTCGTATGTGGACAGTTACATTAGCACCATCGGTGTTGATTTCGTAAGAATCTCCATCTCTCTCATTGCTTATGTTTCGTGTTGTTTGGGAGCATTTTAAATTTGAATTTTTGGATTGTTATTTTGTAGAAAATTAGAACGGTGGAGCTGGATGGAAAGACAATCAAGCTGCAAATTGTAAGTATAGTCGCGTGTTGCATGCTAGTTTGCATGAATGCTTTCAAGTCTAAGTTATAGTATTGAGCTTATGTTGAAGCTCCTTGGTCATTTTACAAGTCATTTGAACTATGCACTTTATCTTTATCGTTTGAATTCCATAGATCTCAAATCATCCATTTCTGGGCTTCGAGCCGTGCAAGCTTACAAAGTAATGTGAGCATGTGATCGCTTTAAGTCACCAAAATGCATCTTTGATGCAGTGTTTTTTAATTCTTGGTAGTTAGCATGTTGGCAAGTTTCAGACCAGCGCAATAAAATCAGGAGTTACAGTTATTTAATTAATTGGCATTGTGTGCTAAAACATTGAATATATCCACTTTAACCTCTCCTTTTTTATCAAGTAATAAATTTTCTTTAACAGTGAGCATATCCACACTACCCTCTTATTAATGATATCAGTGTTGGGAAGCTGGCATTTCCTCAAAAGCATAATGACTAGATTGATCAACTACTCCGTTGATGCTTGCTCTAATCCTGATTTACATGTTATAATACCAGCTTCCTTTTTTTTTTGCAGTGGGATACTGCAGGCCAGGAGCGGTTCCGCACTATAACAAGTAGTTACTATCGGGGAGCACATGGGATTATTGTGAGATATTATATACATTGATTAGAAATTTCTCTGGCCATAAAAAATTAGAAAAAATAGTTTAGATTTGAATTTCATCACCTCCCTAGCCTCTCATTCTGTCTGCAGCTTTTGCTAATCATGTATTGCGTATGATACTTTTTCTTGCATCCTAATGCCTAAGGTTGTAGAATCTTTTGAAAATACAACAATACATGCTTATCTTTCTCTAACTATACCTTTATAAGTTTAAGACGTACTGTCAATCACCCACTCTATGGTTCTGTTGTGTCAATACTGAACCATAGCTGGTTAAATTTCAAGTTTTACTGAAGGTAACTGGTAGGCTAGTGTTGGTTTCGAGGTGTAGTTGATTGACATTTACTATTATTTCCTAGTTAATATTGACTTTGATATTACTCCCTCCATCCATATCATGTCACAGAGTTTGACCTTCCCAGACATGACCAACTGTGAGAAGACTAGCACATCAGAAAAACAAATATTGCTTGCAACATTTTGTCTCTGGACCGATTCTATACCCTTTTTGGCTTTTTGGTTCTCCTTTATCCTGACAACTTTTTAATAGTCCTTTCTCTCACCTCTTCTTGTTATGGCCGTGCGTCATAAGACTTACAAGTCCTTAAATCACTTTTAAATACATGATGATGGAATTTTTGAAGAGGGAAACATTGGATAAGAAGAAAAGCCTAGTTTCTCAAAAATAAAGATTTCAAACTTCTCGTGATGGGCCAAAAAAGAAAAGAGTGTCATGTAAATGAAATGGAGGAGTGATAGATTCTATTTCGTCCCATTATTGTTTTTCAAAGGCACAGAATGTAAAAAATGAGGTATAAAAATATTAATATTGACTGCATATATTTTCTCCTTTTTTGGGGTTGGGGGATTGGGGTAGGAGATGATCTGGTTTTATAGTATAGTTATATTTTCCTAGTTTGCGTACCAATCTGTAATACACAACATCCTCAAATAAGCGCGCCATCGATTTCCTGACAGTTGGTGGATGTTAGAGATTCAGGGCACCCCCAGTTGTAAAGCTTCTTAGCTTTCTTTTCTTGTACCCTCTAGCTTAGTGTCATGGTCTTTTGAACATACTGGTTAAAGAAAAATGGTCTTCTTATTGTGGTTGTATTATGGTAGATTGTTTATGATGTAACGGAAATGGAGAGCTTCAACAATGTCAAGCAATGGTTGAATGAAATTGACAGATACGCAAATGAGAGTGTTTGCAAGCTTCTGGTGGGAAACAAATGTGATTTGGTAGAAAACAAGGTTGTGGACACACAGACGGGAAAGGTATTTTATGTTGCCTCTTTATCAGATAAACCTTTGTTTCATTTGCATTTGTATTGATCAGGCTTAGTTTAGTCATACTATCAGCCCATTGAACTTGGCTTGCTGACAAATGCTGAAAATCATCTCATTTTGCTGTAGTTATTCTAACAATGCTCTCATGTTCTTTTCATTTGATTCCTCGCTTAAACTCACGCTATGTGCCACAATCGTGTTGATTCTTTACTATACTCGATTAGGATTTTTGTTTTCAGGATATACATTTAGACCATAGTGTCTTTTGGAGTGGAAATGGTATCTTCCTGTTTTGGTGTTTGTCTTCTGAATGAAGTTGTTGGACATATCTTCGAGAAAAATTGATCAAGTTGAAAAAGTAAAAACTTTTAATTTGCTTTTGCTACTAATTATAGTGGGCTTATGTTTGGAGTACTTTCTTTAACCATTATCTTTAGTTTCTGTGTCCTCGGTGGAAATTGAAGAGGAACATACTTTAGATGCTACAATTGGCTGGCTCATTATTAGCAGTCATTGTGACTTTGCATCAAACCATCGTTTAGACTTGCCTGCGGACACCATCATCAGTCTGAAACAATTTATACTTGTGACACCAGTGATTCACCAGCAGTTATTCTATCCTCCGTTCTTGTGTCTTACTCGTTTGCCTCATGAAACCGAAGTGTCACTGGAGTTAGCTCTTCATCTCAGAACTTCCTGATTCAGTCACTCTAGCCACACTTTTGTTCGATCTGTGTCCCCTCAATGTACCTGAGTATATGAAGTCTCTGGCTAGGTGCACAAAGTTGTGGTTTTCCTGGTGTCCATGATTGCTCAAGGTATTTGGGCAGTGACTCCAGTTAGGTGTAAATTATATGCTATTATTTTCGGGGTTGAGCAGAAGGGTGGGAGGGAGCACTATAACTTAGTTCACGTGTGCAAATAAACAGCCTAGAAGGTTGTCATAAGTTATTCTTTGTGAACCTTGAGAGCGTAGGCTTTCTGGAGGTGATGTGTGGTCTATAATCAGGTTGTTACATGTGACTATATTATAATTGGTGGTGTTTGATTAGTGTTTGGCTTTTTGCTGTTAAAGATAAATTATTCTGGAAGTTCTTCATTTCCGTGTGCTCTGGGTTCAATTGAATACCTCTGAGTCTCATGATGATAGATAGCACATGAAAATTGTTGTTAATATGTAAAAGTAACCCTCTAGTAAATCTAAACAACTTTAGATCTTTTTAAACATGTTAAAATAGCTTTGGTATATTGAACTTGATGATGCAATTTTTTTGAAATGCCTTTCTTTTGATTATTCTGTATTTCTTGGTTTAGGAAATAGTGACAAACGGAATATGTGATTCTAATAGTTTCCAAATCAGTCTATCAAAGATTGAAACTACCTCGTCTTGATCGATGTATGAACATATGATATATAAGCAGCTTAATTGTCAGTTATGATTTTATTCCCAGTTCAAGCAATTTTGCATTTGTAACATCACTTTAAATTTATTCAGGCTTTGGCAGATGAGCTAGGTATCCCTTTCCTTGAGACGAGTGCAAAAGACTCCATTAACGTGGAGCAGGCTTTCTTAACGATGGCGGGAGAGATCAAGAAAAAGTAAGTGGGCTAATATTTCCTTCCAGGTTTTATTTCTGCAAAAGTCTAGTTCCACTTTCTTCTCCCCATAATTTGTTGATTCTATTTCCGATACATTTCAACATTAGTGATACATTTCAACATATTTATAGCTTACTAAGATATATTGCATTAGTGGGGATAAAATTGTCAATATACGTAGCTATTGTACATAGTCAGACTGCTACTGCTGCTAGTTTTTCTACGAACTAGTTTATATATTACTGAATTCAACATGATGCGAGAAATGTTGGCAACAAGTAAAAGTTCTTTACCACCCTGAACCACTTCTCTTAGTAATTTGTAGTTAGTCTTTTCGTGGTTCCATTTAAGAATTGAACCAAATATTTTATTTTGCAGAATGGGTAATCAACCAGCTGGAGCCAAGAAGACAGGTAGTACTGTTCAAATCAAAGGACAACCAATTGAGCAGAAGAGCAACTGCTGTGGCTAACTGCTGACGCTGTGCTTCTGTATCCCTCTGTTCCAATAGCAAAATGTCGAACAGCTTGTAACTAAACATAAGTTTACTAGAACTAGAATATCCTGTGAATCTTCCGTTAGTTGAAATGTATTTCCAACTTTGCTCATGGTGTTATGTGAACATTGCCTGCCTGGAATGATAAGTAGTCGCTGAGAGGCAAATCTGATATGAGTTTAACTTCGGTGTGATTGTAGCTGACAATTGTAGCTGTTTGACACAAAATAGAGTGACTAAGATTTACACTGTTTGTAAGATGGATCCATCTGGCGATAACCAAGTGAAGAATGATCAACTTGGCGTAGCAAATATCATGTTCCCTATGCAGCCTCGGCTTATAGGATGAACTTGCAATTTATCATTCATTGTTTCAGTAAGTAGTTGAGAAAAGTCGTGTTATTTTCCTCTTGATAATCTCTAGGGTCAATGCCATTAGTACGCCAAGTTTACTTGCAGGTGATTAGTTATAACAGTAACGTCGTATGTTGGGGAGAAAACAAGTAGTATTATTAAAATACATAGTTGGACCGACACTTATGAGAGGACCTTTGCGAGAGATCAGAGAGTAAGGATTACTTCGGTTCTTACGTGAAGAAGAATAAGAGAGATCCTAATAAGTCATTTGGATATTAGATTCTCTAAATTTTAGAGAACCTCATTCACCGGATGAAAAAGAACTCTAGAAATTGCCATCTTTAGACTTCTTGCTATATGGTGGCAAATCATAGTCTTTAGTTATAATATCACACCATACATATTAAATAATTGCTGTCATTTGAAATAACGCTGAAGCATTGAAATAATTGGTTTAATTCTTAAAGAGCCATACTATAACAAGATTTTAACATGTATTGCACATTTCCTTCCTAATGTTGAAAAAGGGTATAATATCTTACCGAGAATATAGAAGGCAAAAAATGATTACTAATTAAAACTAACAAAAGGAACAATATAGGGGCTTCAAAATCTAATGACCATCAAGATGAAGAGCAACATGCCTTCTTGGGGGCAGGCTCCTCTGCCCCAACAACAAGAGTCTTCCCTTCTTTGATGTTAGCAGTTGCTGGTTCCTCGGAAGAAAGTGGCTTCTTACTTATTATCCGATAGATTTCTGAAAGAATCGTCTGGAAAGCCTTCTCTACATTCGTTGCCTCCAATGCAGATGTTTCAATGAAAGAAAGGCCTTCTTTTTCAGCAAAGCTTTGAGCATCCTCTGTATCAACAGCTCGAAGATGCTTAAGATCCGTTTTGTTTCCAATGAGCATAATCACAATGTTCGAATCTGCATGATCCCTCAGTTCCTTCAACCACCGACTAACATTCTCGAAGGTAGTTGGTTTTGTCACATCATATACCAGAAGAGCCCCAAGAGCACCCCTATAGTAAGCACTTGTAATGGCTCTGTATCTTTCCTGTCCAGCTGTGTCCCAGATCTGAGCCTTGACGGTTCTTCCCTCGACCTAGACACATATCAGAATTAAGCAAACAAAGATTTTTATAACATATACATTTTGCAATTACCAAAAATTGTAGAAGCACGCACAGCAACAAGAACACAAGTGTTATTCAATGGAGTGACAGCAAGGCGAATCTTACAGATAGAATGCACTTAGAGAGTGGTTTCCCAGAATCATGTGTGACCTCATTGAACTTACAAGTTACCTCTTACTCCTTATCTTAAAGATAGAATGCACTTAGAGTGGTTTTCCAGAATCATGTGTGACCTCATTGAACTTACAAGTTGCCTGTTACACCTCATTTTGGATATCCTCGCAACCCCATTAAAGGTAGCTTCTGTGCCACTGCACCAGTTGTGCAGTCAACTAGATCCTTCCAAACTTTGAATGTTAGTAGAATGCCCCTCTTTATTTGTTTCATGAGAAACATTCAACAGGTAATAGAGATAAATGATACAACAACAACAACCCAGTGGAATCCTACAAGTGGGGTAATATGTACACAGACCTTACCCCTACCCCGAGGAGATAGAGAGGATGTTTCCGAAAGACCCTCGGCTCGAGAGGAAGGATAGAAACAAGTAAATATCAACAATAAGGCCGGGAAAATGATACTAGCAATGAGTGAAACAGATGGAAGAAAGCAGTAGCAATAGCAACAAGCAGTAACAACGACAAGATACTACAAAACCGAAGCAGAGGATAGTACTAAAAACAACCCTAATACTAGCACTCTGAAAATCAATGACAAGGTACTAGCAGGCTAGCCCTAATAAAACCAGAACGGATTAGAAAAACACACTACGACCTATTACCCTTCTACCCTAATATTCGACCTCCATACCTTCCTATTGAGGGTCATGTCCTCGGTAAGCTACAGTCGCGCCATGCCTGCCTGTTCACTTCTCCCCAATACTTCTTACGCCACCATTTGCCTCTTCTCCTACCTGCTAGCGCCAACCGTTCACACCTCCTCACTGGGGAATCTAGGCTCCTCCGTCTCACATGCCCGAACCATCTACGCATCGTTTCTCGCAACTTATACTCCATAGGGGTCACGTCCACTTTCTCCCGAATATTTTCATTCATAATCTTATCCATCCTAGTGTGCCCGCACATCTATCACAACATCCTCATTTCAGCTACGTTCATCTTCTGCATATGGGAGTTCTTGACTGGCCAACATTCTGCCACATACAACATAGTCGGTCTAACCACCGCCTTGTAGAACTAACCTTTAAGTTTTGGTGGCACATTCATACAACATAGTCGATCTAACCACCGCCTTGTAGAACTGACCTTTAAGTTTTGGTGGCACATTCTTATCATACAGTACGCCGGATGCTAACCTCCATTTCATCCCCCCGCCCCTATACGGTGTGTGACATCCTCGTCAATCTCCCCGTCCCCTTAGATAACTGACCCAAGATACTTGAAACTTCCTCTCGGGGATGACTTGCGAATCAAGCCTCACATCTATATTCGCTCCCCCCGTCATGTCGCTAAACTTGCACTCTAAATACTCCGTCTTAGTCCTTCTCAACTTGAAACCTTTAGACTCTAAGGTCTGTCTCCAAACCTCCAACTTCTCGTTGACATCGCCTCACGTCTCATCAATCAGTACTATATCGTCAACCAATAACATACACTTTGGTACCTCCCCTTGCATATGACGCATCAGTGCATCCATAGCCAAAGCAAATAAGAACGGGCTAAGCGCAGATCCTTGGTGCAACCCCATCCCAACCGGAAAATGTTCCGAGTCTCCTCCCACAGTCTTCAATAGAGATAAATGATAGCTGGGCAGTAAAGGCAGTTGAACACATACTAGAAAAAGGCAGGATTAAAAGATGACATGCAAATAGTAGAAGGTAGCTGTTTGATAAAGAGGTTAAAACTTTTTTGTTCTTGAAATAAGAACCCCAAAACTTCTTTTTACCAGTAAAAAAGCCTTGTGGCATAATAACTTTAGGTTTCCCACCGTTTGAAACTTGTAATACATAGCTGGCATCAAAATCAAGCAAGTGATCCTGCAACAACATTTGCTTTAACCATAATGGCTTTTTTCCCCTTCACTGTTTGTCATTATCTTTCCCCATCAAATGGTCACAAATAGGAGCTTCCATTACAGTAGAAACTCAATCAGATCATGATATGTTTTTAAAACAATTTCAACACCTAGCCTTTTTGCTCATCTTTGTTAAACAGAGAGTAGCTAGCCTTGATGGGGAGGAGGGGGAAATTGAGGTTGTCCATCCTTTAGAACAAGCACACAATTTGATAAGAGTCATAAGACTTGTTTCGCTAAGTGAGAAGGACAACTAGAAGTACTTCTGGCCAGATTGAGCTTTCTGTCTCTTTTACCTCTTGTAACAGTTCATGTCTTTTTTACTAACAAGGAGAATACAGTTCACAAAGATTAAGACCGCAGCACAGATGAGGAACATATCTCAATCAGTTGAATGTCTGAATTGAGAATTTTCAAGACAATGGAACCATTCACAACTTTGATAAAAATGGACAGACACAAGATATTCATTTCATTTCAGCATGAAAGATGCTCTCTTCGTCTTCCCTTTCATTGCACTTACTTCCAACCAAAGCTACACAAATCCCAAAGGGCCACATAAGAAAATCGTACCATGCTAGAAACTGCGGCATGCTCAACGGGGTCAGCATAAGTTTTAGATTATATCGTTCACTCTAAAAGGGACAGCTAAAATTATACTATTTGTGTGGCTATAAATCATTGCATAAAGGTAAATTGTTTACAAATAGGGAAAGTGATCATTCTTTTTGGCATGGACTAAAAAGGAAATAAGTTCACATAAATTGAAACAGAGGGAGTAATAAATAGTACACATATTTTATACTGTCAATAAATAAAAGTTAAACCCCAATAACAATGAAAAGAGTGTATCTTTCCTTTCTTAGAAGTACAGAGAAATAAAAAACCTAGCAGCGCAAGGGTTTCACAGATCTCGAAAGAAGGTCATCTAACCCTGGTCTCATATCACAGCCCATACCCTAACTCCATGCCACCAAGCAAGGAACGAAGTCAGTTCTGGAAACAAAGCAATAAATGTTAAGCAACCTAACGCGTCATTCATTAACATGACAAAAAATAAAATATAAGATCCACGCGACCACAATAAAGAATACTGGCACTCTCCATTAAACTCAATAAACAAGCACATTTACTCTTTGGTAACTTATTTTTAATATGGAGCCCATTTCTCGTAGAAAATAAACTATACACAGATATATCTACATGTACATCTCTAGATCTTAACCACATAGTACTTGAAAACGTAAAATAATTTAAATTTGCATCAAACCCATAACATGTGTCTTTTACATATACTTCTGACACTTAATATACATCGAATTTGCCAATTAATGCAAACACCGGGTAAATTAACACGCAAACACACAAATGCATTTTCTAAATCAAGCAGTCGAGGCAGTGAAAAAAGGACTAATAAGCGAAGCGGACCTGGAGAGTACGAGTGGCGAATTCAACGCCGATAGTGGATTTGGACTCTAAAAGGAACTCATTTCTGGTGAATCGAGAAAGCAAGTTGGATTTGCCAACTCCTGAATCGCCGATTAATACAATTTTAAACAAGTAATCGTACTCCTCTTCCGTTCTTCTCGCCATTTCCTCTCCCTTTTGAATCGCTCCTTCTTCTGATTCAGATTTATGTTAAGCCTTCGATTGATGATCGTTTGATGGTCAGATGAACTTTTATGACGCAAATGCCCCTGATTCTCGGGAGTTTGATTACGAATC